ATTACTCTTACACAGTATTTTTTTGTAAGCAGTAATTATATAATGCTATTAACATCAATTTTATTGAAAATTTAGCCGCATCTGAACGAAAAAAAAAATTAATAAATCAACCCCTGCACATAAGGTGTCAAACAAAAAACCACACAGAAAAGCATAGAATTTCAAACATTATTTAATATTCATTATTGTTCTTCCAAAAAAATAATTTATTTTTCAGAAAACAATATATGCCTATATAGGTATGGTGTTTACGAAGATAGTTGAAACCGTATAAAAACTAAAAGTCGGCATCTCTTTATTGTGCCCGGGCGCAATTATCTACTGTTCATTATGCTCTTCCAAGTTAATTTCTTTTTCAGAAAACAAACCTAGGTATGGTAGGGCTGTATTTATTATTTATTTATTACTTTAAGTATTTCTTACTGATATGGTAACATATTATGGTATATAATGATCTATTTGACAAACCTAGACCTAGACGTATTTCCTTAGTTCCGTCATATATTTTATTTTTCAATTATGAGAGCATTTTGTGACTGCGAAATATATTCAGTCACGACGAAACGAAGTCAAAAATTAAAATATGTTTTACAGTTTTCTATAAGCCATACAATTTTAATGGTTAAGTTTGATACTGGCTCCATCTGGACTAGAAGCTCCAAACATTCATATTTGTTGTTCTCTTTGGTGCGTATCTCTACTAATGACATTTAAATAAATGGCTACCAAAGAAATAATTTCACAAAAATCTAGACATTGCTGGTAATACAGCATAATTCAGTTTAATATTTTGCAGGTTAGTTCTTCAAATCTGTACGAAGGAGATGTAAAATTATAATAAAGATTTATGACATAAAATTTCAATTTGTTATTATACTTTATTTATAACTTCAATAATACAAATTATTTTGCAATAAAAAATATGTCAACTCCTAGCTCAATACCTTATCTATATAGGCCACATATAATTTTCTCAGAAAATAGTGTAGTTTTTGAAAGGACTATGCTTGGGTGAAGGTCTATTTTCAGAAAATATCTTTATTCCCCTCTTAACACTACTTCCTCACCCAGTATCCGTAGCGTACCAGTGTTCAGGTCTAAGTTCACCCCCTTTGCTCGTAGTAAGTCTAGTCCTAGTATGACATTGTCCGATATATCTGCAACCAGGGCTCCGTGTTTTAACTTGACGTCTCCCATTTATATTTCAAGCTCGCATTCCCCCGTGACTGGCAATTGTTGTCCATAGGCTGTTGTGAGGATATACTGTTTGGTAGGGTTCTTAATATGCCAAGCATCAATAATATCCGGCCGTACGATAGTTCTTGCCGCTCCAGTGTCGATTACCATAGGAAAAACACGATCATAAATATTGCCCTCTACTAGCAATGAATCCGAGTCCTGAAGACGTAACAACGTAACTTCTTCTCGTGGGGCATGGTAGGAGGACGCAGCCGGCTTTTGCTCCGTCAAGCCGGCTGCACCTAGTTTTCCTGTGTAGCTGTAGCCTGGGAGTCGCGTTTTTGCTGGTCTGCGACTGGGGCCCTACACTGCCTCCTTAGGTGTCCTGTCTGTCCACAGTTCCAACACTGCAGTGAGCGACCTCTCCGGTTATCAAATTGTTCTCTATCTGGCCTAGTAGTAGGGCTGAATTGCTCCATGACCTCCTTCAGTGCCTTGAGTATGTCTCCATTTGCCATACTATCGTTGTTAGCACTGATAGTCCGCACTTTAGCATGTCCTCTGGAAGCCATTTTCGCTGCTTCATACTCCAGTGTATGCGAAAGAGCGTCGTTCAAAGTTTTAGGTCTGGCGAGTCGTAGTGCCTGCTGGGTTTCGCAATCTCTTAGACCATCAGTGAAAACTTGGATGGAGAGCTGGTCTACAAATTCAGACGGAGCTGTCGGATAAACCAGTCGAACCAGTCGAGCAACATCGGTCTCAAAATGTTGTAAATTCTCTCCACTCTGCTGGTGACGATTCTTCAGTTGTGCCTGGTACACTTGCTGCAGGTGCTTATCCCCATATCTCATTTCTATATGCTGCTTTAGAATGTCGTAGTTATTCTGCTGTCCAGCAGGAACTCCCTGTAGGACGTCAAGAGCCTCCCCTCGTAAAGCAACTATCAGAGCAGTAGCTTTTTCATAATCGGACCACTCGTTTGCTGCAGCTGCTGCTTCAAACTGACGCAGATAGGTACTCCAAGATACCTTTCCGTCGAATTCAGGGGGTTTCGTTTTCTGGGTTCGTATAACAGGTCCTTCCGATTTGATTACGCCCTCCTTTGTTACCTCGTCTAGTTTTTGTCTGATCTTCAATTTTATGTCTTTGTTCTTCAAATTTTTCTTACATCGTTTGCCCCTGTTCTTCCATTTTCTTTTGCATTGTTTGCATCATGTCTAACAGTTGTGCCAGTTGTGCATCCATATTGACTTGGCTTCTGGTTACAGGCATTCACTTTATTTCCTTGGAAGGTTCTAGAATGTCCACGAATGTGTGTGTAGATGTCACCATTGACTTAATCAGAATGCTACGAGTGTCGTGATACGTCACACTTGGGTATTTGTTCCACCCACACACAGTGTTCCAGAAAGTTCTTCAAACTTCCACTTAAATCCACTTCCGACACCAAATTGTCACGGGTTTCCTACCCGACTTTTTCTTTTACCAAAAGTTTTTCAGATATTTATTCACACTCCGTACACTACTAATTACTAATAACAACTCAATTACAACTCAACTAATCGTTATCTCACTAATTATCGCTTTTAAACTCTGGGAAATCTCCAACTAAGCGCTCCCATTCAAAACTGACTTTGACACTCCGTATTCCTCTGTCGCGTAGGGACGATCCCGGGCAATCTAGCGTTCTGCTATGCCAGAGTTGTCCAAGTGGGAGCGATCGGGGAAAATTATGTGACATAATATTTTGTTTTTACTGCTCTGTGGCTCAAGAAGCAATTAGTACAATTCGAAAATGATTTTTATTTTTCTTTTGTTTTATTAAAATATAGGTATTTACCAGTAAAAATAAATATTTTATACAGACCTGGTGAAATTTATTTTCTATTTACAAATATTTTCTAACTCACAAATAAGCTTAGGTATCTAAAGAAAATTTGTTTTGTTACCAGGTAAAAATCAAAGCGTTTAACACTAATACATATATTAATTATTAAATTATTAATTAAAAATAAGATATAAATAAATAATTTGCTGTGTTAACATTTTATAATCTACTTTCAACATGTCCGTTGTGGATGTCTGGTTCAAACGCTTCGTTGTTTTTTCCAGATGAATGTTGGATTTTTTTTCTTCGAACACTGTTGGTCAAATTATTTCGTCCAGCAAAGTGTTCTGTGATCTCAAAAAGAGATTTTCCTTCAGTTTCTGGTAGCAAGAAATACAGAAGAATAGTACCTACTACACTTACTGTTCCATAAAACCAAAATACTCCCGGCAGAGTGAAACAAGAGACCATGCTCAGGAATATTTTGTTCGCCAAGAAACTGAAAATATACCCTGTTCCACCCGATATGCCGGAAGCTGTGGCGCGAACTTTACTAAAGTAAACCTCTCCGGTCAGAATCCAAGGCAAAATTTTTATTCCTACATAACTTAGGAAAGCCGAAGCAACCAAAAACGTGACTGGTATCCATCGGAAATCTTGAATGGGTACTTCATTAAACGTACTTTCGTGTGTTGCGTTACTAGTTCCATTTATCTTTACTGTATCTTCAAAGTATTTGACATCTATAAAGTATGCATAGGTAGCTACTACGATGAAGCAGATTCCAGATCCCAAAAGAGAAATAAAATTAATCGTTCTTTTCCCAAGAATATTAACAAAAACTACACAAATGATACATCCTAGGAACTGTACAATCCCCAATATCACGGTGGCGTAGTACTTATCAATAGGGGTCTTCAACGTGGAAAATATTTTAATAGCGTAAATTTGCAAAGTAGTATTTCCATTAAAGTGGCTTAAAAAGAAAACCAGGCTAACCACAAAGTATGGCCATAAAAATTGTTTCGTGGAATATAATTTCAAGTTTTCAATATTAGATGGCTTCTTTGTACCATCCATTTTATTTGTTAAATCTTCCGTCAACTCTGATTTAACGTGCCTTGTTTCTTCTTGCAGCCTTTGTTTGCAAAGCTCTTGAAATTCGTTCTCGACGTTTTGTACAGGCACCCATCCCCGCAGCCAAGCTATGCTCTTTCTAGCCTCGTCAAATTTCTTTTTAGAAATGAGCCATATCGGAGTCTCAGGCACGAATATTAATAAAACGAACGATAATATAGGTACCGCACAGTTTATTAAAACTATTGTTCTCCAACGAAGAAGCGCTCCTAATAAGAATTGACTTAAAATGCCTAACATCACAGCCATCGAGCTTGTGGACGACAAAATTCCTCTTAGGTGGGGTTGAGTTATTTCTGCTACATAGGTCAGAACCTGAAAAATAAATTTCAATTAAAAAACATTGATAATTTTGATAACATTGTTAGACTGTAATTGACATTACATAAAATACCGAAAAATTACTACGTGAATAAAACATTGTTTGAAGTTCATAGAAATAATTATCACTACATTGGTTTTCGATTAACCTTTTATTTTTCACTAAATTGTATATCAACTAATTTTCGAGTATTCAGTTATGCAACAGTATATGCAAATATATCTAAAAATTATTTTAATTTAAAATAATTTTGGTAGCACATACAAATGGAAGATTTGCAGGTAGATATACATAAATCATTCTGAAGCAACTAACACGCTTCTATTTTGACAATTGGCATATTTTCTAATGCATATTCAAAAAGTATACATCATAGTTAATCTGAAAAAATATCAGAATATTTTATCAACAATTTTTGCTTCAAAATAAAACAATTTAAACTCCCAAATCTAATTAAAAGAGACATCAACACAAATATTGATTTTTCGAAACGTTAAATAAAATAATTGTAGACCCTGGTGTAAGGGGATAAGCATCTATATGTAAATTGTCTAGAAAAGAATTTTTTTTAAGTTAGTATTTTTTGTTGTATCATTTGGCTAATTTCGTATAATATTCACATATTAATTAAAATATAATATTCGCATAAATAATGAGATATTTAAAATACGATGGTTTTCCGAATTGTTATGCCATGGTCTTAGCCTTAACTAGGAATGTTTAACCTTCCTTCGTTGTTCTCGGGCTAGGCTCTGTGGGGGCGAACTATTGACTGATCATTTTCGCGCAAAGGGTTCTTTAATTATTTTCTTAATTTCTTTCATAGGTAGAAAAATACCAATTAACGGGGAAAAACTAAAATTATACCACAAATACACATAAAATTGTGCATCACATTCGTTTTCTAGTAAAAGATAACAAACAGTACCTACTTTGCCTATCTATTCTTTGTCTATCAAAACAAGTAACGATTTTATAGCGTGGGCCATTTTGATAATCACTTTTCCTATCTGTCCAACGATTTGGAAAGTGTGTTGGCCACTACATTCCTCCGACTTCTGGTTTCTGCTTCTGGGCTTCATAATATATAAATATTCGACATGATTCCCAATTATTTGAAGAGATAGGTTGATTCTTTACAGAATGATTGCCTAATTTTAATAATGTAAATTCATTTTTAAAACTGGTTTTCGCTTTTCAAATTTTTTGCTACATTTCTGCTCGAATATTAATAGGATTCTCATAAACTACTGTTAATGTTAACAAAAATTAAGATACGATCTCACGATTTGGAAAATACGTTTTTATGTAGTTACGAACATTCGACAATAAAAAATAAGTTGTAAGACAATACAATTAATTGCATCTGTCAAATTTTTTCTATAAATATTAATATCTCAAAGTCTAACTCCTAGGTATAGGGAATATTTAATTAAGTGACCCTCAAATTTCCCGTATCCGAAAATGCAATAATATATAGGTAGGTTGTCCCATTTAAAATAACGGAGTTGGTGTCGACTTCCGGTATAACCGGAAGTGTTGAAGAGTTCTACATATTTTAGTTGTGTTTGCCCCAGAGGCATTGTCATGTTGTCAAATTTCAAATTTTTCGGAGCAGTACTTTCCTAGATATTGATCGACGCAGTTCCCGGTGGGACCTATAGTTAATCCCTTTTATAAAAAGATCATAAAATAAAAAGTAGGTACCTTTTGTATATGTAATTTTTTAAATGCAAATCCGTTCGATATTTGTTGAGATAGAATTCCAAGAAATTTTTCTTTCTTGAAATTAACCGTATTCGATACTTGAGGTAGAAAGACATTTGCGAAAAATTTCAAGTTACGCCCCTGCCACGGTAAATTGATACAGTAGTTCCGATAACAGAACTTTGGTTTATTGTTTTCTTGGAGTTCTGTCTCAACAAATATCGTACGGCATAGTCCGTAGTACGGACTATGTCTTTGTAAACGGTTTATATTTTCTTAACTTCTTGTCCCAGAGATAGATAAACAATTCGACGCTTTAGTACGAAAATATGCTATCTCAGATTTCAGTTGGAAAACATGCTATCTATGTTTTCGTACTAAAGCGTCGAGAATTCATATCGCCCGCAATAAGGCAGCTCAAATTGAAATGATTTTTAAAGTTGGCAAAAACCTGATTAACCTAATACCAACTGTGCTGCCGATATCTCAATTGTAAAATTTATTAGAAATTTTCCTTAAAATTGGACATCCTTTATCTCTCCTAATAATATGGGCTTCTGGAAACCAAGTTTGGCCATTGCTCATTTACGAAACACCCTGCGTAAAGTCCCGAATTGTACCCGCTAATCTTTATCTAGTAATAGAACTCCTTAGAATAAGAAAAAAGTCCCATAGGCATGGGTCACGAAATACTGTGTCGCGGGTTTTTCGTGTTAGGTACAAAGCACCTTCGAAATGGAATTTTTCATTTTTGAAATAGCAATCTGATGATTCAGTTAATATGGAAATACTGTATTTGTATTTTAATAAAGAATTGCCATTCTGCGAGGACTTTTGATTAAAATTAATTCCTAACGTTACTTTTAAGAGAAAAAGTGTCTCTTACCCTGAAAAAATGAGCCGTTTTCCGAGTTTAAATTTTTTTTAATATAAAATAAGCGTAATATACAGTACAAAAATGTATGGGAGTTCTTTATCGAAAACACAATAAAGTATAAATCAAAATCATCAAAAAAATAAAATAAAATATAAACGTAGATAGCTTATTTATTTTTTTCTCCAAATCATGCCCCTTTCTATTCTTAGACAATTAATTAAAAATGTCTATAGCAAGTACCTACTTTTTTCGATTTTTGAAGGATACACTGATTGCAAAATAGTATGCGGAACAAAAATTCCTATACATTTTTTTGTTAAATACTTTTAGATACAGGCGCAGGTTAAATTTATTCAACTACCTATGTAATAAGTTGCAATTGTGTAAGTGGCATATCCATTTCTTTTTAATACAAGTATTTACCGCTCCGATACTACGACACACAATAAAACTGAAAATTGGAAATTATCTACGTTTAAAAATTGCGCCTGTATCCTAAAAAACGTTCTATAAACTGTGGGATATGTTGTGCGTTTGGAAAATATTCAAGAAATAGTATTTCTAACGGAAATTTTAACAGTCCTATCTCGAAAAGTAGAGTTTTTATATAGGATAGCGTCGAATACGTATTTTCCATCTATTTTCAATTGATATTATGATATTAAAATGTTTATTTTCTCGAACAAAATAATGTCTTGTATTTAAAGTTAAATAGGAAAATCCTTCATTATGTTTTATATTAATTAATGATGTAAATGGTAATCAATACTGTTACAGGAAGCATCAAAGAGCATTGAACTTATACTTCAATACCGTGCAATCACTTACACATTATTGTTATATATGTTATATAAAAACTTAATGAAATTATGTATTTTTTTATTAATAGACTTGATAAAACTGAAGTTTGTAATTACCAATTACGATTAGAAATTATTACTATACAACAGATTAAAATTTTATTTGAAGCATGAAGCGGTTAGATTACACTAGTTATAAATTTCTTACAATTTCAATACAAATTCTCACTATTGAACTTGTGATTTCCGTAGGTCATTCCAGAGAGGCTTAAATGTTAATACGATGTTTTGTAAAATAATGATAAAAGTAATTATAATAACAAAAAAAAATCACGAAATTACTCAGATCAGATCAGTTTTTTACTAATGTTTTAACCCTTATCGCGCAAGGAATTATTTATTAATGATTTAATACTGCAGTGTAATTTTATAACAAGTAGCAACCAGGTACTTAAAAAACATTGAACTTTAAATAGGGTTATTTATTTTCAGTGTGACAGGTATACTCAATTAAATTAAATAAATACCACAAATAAATAATCCTTTGCACAAAAGGTGTTATTTAAAATTTGTATGACTTTTCAAAGTGGCGGAAATAAAAAGAGAATAAAAAATTGTCACAAACAAGTAATTGCAGACACTAACTTTAAATTACATTGGAATTGCAAATGGTCAAACAAAAACAATTTAGAGAGTATCATAGAGAAAAAGAACTGTTTTGGCACTGCTGAAATACATGTACATATTTTATCGCGGCGAGTACTTACAAACAATTCTGTAACACTTTTTACGAGTTTATGAAGCCGGACTGTATTCGAGAGTCAGTTTGTAATGCATTGTTGTAGTGATTGCTGTGCTGTTTTTCGAGAGTACATTTAATATACGAAAATACTCACAGAGCTTGTCAAGTGTACCGTGCAAGATATCCTGAACGACGTGCCCCGCGAACATTAATTTCTCGCTGAAGCGCAAAGAGATTTGGACACCGCACTGAAAGAAATGGGCTTATTAAACTGTTTATCTAGAATAATGTGTATAGCGCATATTAAAACTTTTATAACCAATATACGACTTTTATTAAAAAAAAGCAATCATCTCCATACTCATTATTCAATCAGTTTAACTGGAAGGTGCTTAATACACCTTATGCATCTATGAAATAAAGGTTATAATGAATTACTTATACATTATTAGGTGTTATAGACTTTATATTCCAATTGTATAGTAGGGAAGATTTGTTGTATAAAGACCAGTATCCGAATTTGTATATAACAATTGTATTAACAGAATTATTCGTTCTTATACTGAATATGTTTCCGTTTTTAACGTGTAAAACGCATCTTATAATGGTTAAGTGATCGTCACCTCTCGGTGCATAATCGGTTATGATCGTTGTTAAGTTATATTCATAGTCTTGTAATAATAATCATATGTCAGACCCGAGAGCGAAGTGCGCCGACTCAATAAGAAACCTGGCTATTCCAGCCGCTGATTTAGGGTTCGCCGCACGAGCTCATCCCTTCTAAGATTTCAGTAGCATGCTATGCATGAAGCAGAACGGTACTCAACTATCTTATACAGTCCACTTTTATTGTCCATACATGTTCAA